ACTTTCCTGATACTGGAGTTCCCATCATGCACTGGACCTTGAATAATTCAAGGAGTAGTTCACTTTTGAAAAAACTTTTGCTGATAATTTGCACCCCTATGTCATCCAAGATGTCCATGTCCCTCTTTCCTCAGTCGAAAAGAAATTAAGGTTTTTGATGAAAACATTCCAGCATTTTCTCCATATAATGGACTTCAGTGGGAACCAAACGGTTCAAGGTCCAAATGAGAGTTTCAGTGCAGCTTCAAAGGGCTTCAAATGACACCAGACGATGAATAAGGGTCTTATCTAGCGAAACGATTGGTCATCTAAAAAATAAATAACAAAGTTTAAGTTTTATAAGCTCAAATGCTCGCCTTGCTCTGTTCTGCGATGCACGTTTGTGACTCTCCTGTTCAAACTCGCTAATCAAAATGAACGAATCTTTTTTCAAGTCATGACTCGAAGGGTCCTAGATAAGACCCTTATTCATCGTCTGGTGTCGTTTAAAGCCCTTTGAAGCTGCACTGAAACTCTCATTTGGACCTTGAACCGTTTGGTTCCCATTGAAGTCCATATGTGGAGAAAATCCTGGAATGTTTTCATCAAAAACCTTAATTTCTTTTCGACTGAAGAAAGAAAGACGTGGGGGTGAGTCAACTATCAGAAAAAGTTTTTTTTTTAAAGTAAACTACTCCTTTAACAGAAAGTTTCCGTACTATATACGATGAATAACTAACCGTTCTAACCGCACGTTTAATGTTAGTTATGCATTTAATGTAATACCGTTAAATTGAAATGTGTTTGGAAGTGAAAAAGCAAAACAGGTCATTTTATAATTAACAGTAAAACAACTCAACAAAATTCCCTGGCAGACACTTTTTTTCTTAATTTTTCTTCGTTTTTTTTTTTTTGTAATTAGTTCTGTGAATTAGGGTTTACATTACAATTAATGTTGTTAAATTAATGTTCAGTGCATTTTTTTTAATACCATGTGTCTTACCATGATGGTAGACCACAGCTGCTGTTTTTTTAGCGTTTTATTTTTTATTTGTTTTACAGTGTAACTGTCTACTTACACTCTAATAAGAGCTAGTTGACATGTAGTTGCTAAGTTACTTATAGTTAGTAGAATGTCTAAAGTGGACTATCTGAACTACATTTTTTTGACTTGTAAAAGACGGGATTTGCTTGTTGTTATCAACTGTCTGTTAACATGTTTTAGTCTTGTAACAAGTAACAAATGTTGTAAACTTTATATAAAAATGTCAAGCTACTGTTCACCGTAATAACCCTGTGTAAATGTAACATTAAAGTGCTAAATGCAAGAGGTGAAAATGTTGGTCGTTTGAGGCCCCTGCTGTAGTAGAACATCAAGTCCTGCAGCTTTAACTTTGCAATTACAACATTGAGTCTATTCCCAGTGAACAAATTTATCCAGCACGTTTCCAGCACAAGTCGAGAGAAGATCGACTGAGTCTGTTTGGGTCATATTTACATCTCACACAAGTGAATGTGAGAGTGCATGAACAATCGGAGGTAAATACGGGCCCGACAGCCGATTTGTTTTTTAGCCGATGGTGATGCATGTTTGTGCAGCATGTAGCACATTTGTCCAACAGCAGGCCAGGAAAGGGAGGTGAGTAATGAAGCAGTGCTTCCTGTCCACTCTCAATGCTATTTTTATTAGTGTGTCTCTTATGCTTTCCATTTTTCATATAGCGTGGGCTGGTTGACAGGATGGACATTGCGCTGCTCTTGAGAGCACGGGAGACACCGGGAGAGGTGATCGTGGCTCAGCATGTTTGGGTTTATTCCCTAATGTCATCATCGGTCTTGTGTCTCGGCCTGACTGGTGGTAGCCACCCAAAATGCACGTGTACATCCCTGAGACATCCGTGTAAGAAAATGGTGGAAAAAGCTATTTATATATCCCATATATCTCAATGGCCCTGCATGGAAGTCTTTGACCGTGCTGTTATCTTTGCTCAATGGCAATCAATTCCAGGGGAAAAAAATGCGGCCTTTTAAGATCACGGCTGCGAATAATTACTTGTAAAAAATATGGGACTGTGTGCATCCATTTGCAATGCCAAAATGCCTCTTCCAACATTTTTGCAAAACTCAAAACATGTATCAATACATACCCTGTACAAATCACTGCAGTTTCCAGCCGAAAATTAATTTACGAGCCACACTCAATCAAGCGTAGAGTTAGTTCTGGCAGGTCATGAGTCAAGATTGCATGAGCTGACTCTCAACTGATTCACGTCTACCTATAGGAATATGACACCTATCATATAAGGTCCATCAGTATTATTAGGAGCAAATTACCAGCTCCTCCTCTCATCAAGTCAGGACTTGACCTTCTGAATACCCTTCGAATCAGAACAATTCTCGAGTTATATTTATGTTGGTTCTGTTCTGGTTACCATAAGGGGGGTTGTCGCTGCTCTCCCCCTGCTCTTATCCATGGATGCGCAGGGAGTTCTTCCCCATAACAGAGCCAATCCAAACTGTGTCAATCATCCTTGACGATAGTGGTCCTGACAGAAACCAGATTAATCAGAGGAACCAGTCAAGAGTTACCCCTTTTCCACAGAAAAAAGAACTGGTTCGGAACTGGTGCTGGTTCAAAGTTGGTTCAACTTGCGAACCCGCTCAAAACCTGTTTGTTTTTCCGCTAAATAGACGTCGTTACGTCACTGTGCACATCGCTAGAAACGATTGCAAGTACATTGCTTTGGGATTATCTCTAGCTCGTGTACCAGGAAAACTTTAAAAACAATTGAAATATGTAAGTCTTTTAATCTTTTCGTTTGATATGTAATCTTTTCTGATAAGTATGTACCCCTGTCTTGTGTCTTTTTTCTTTCCATTTATTTGTTCTATATCGGGACAGTTTTCTTCTTTGCTTATGTTTCAAATAAAAAATAAATAAATGAATAAAAACGCTTGCGTGTTTCTGCAGTTTCTCCTGGCTTTGCGATGGTCAGAAAATATGTTTAGAACACATCTAGACCTGCCCCAGCCCCCGACGTAAACATGATATGCTAAAAGAACGGTTCAAGTCCAGCAAAGAGTTGGTGCCGGTTTGGAACCAGTTTTCCCCGCGAACCGGTTCTTTGGCTGTCGAAACACAAAGAACTGGTTCGCGCGCAGGCACCGGCTCCGAACCGGCTCTCAAAATGCTTTGGTGGTAAAGGGGCTAGTAAGGAGTCAGAGTGGTGGAGTATTAGTAGAATGGTAGAGTTAGGGTTAGAATAAGATGACATGCAGTTGCAAAGTTTCTTAAGCCCCTTTCACACAGAGATTCCGAAAAATACACAGGTAATGTGACCCGGCATTTGTCCCGGGATTGTTTGATTTCGGTTCATTCACACTGCCAGTGATTTGCTGGGATCTGGGACCCGGAAAGATCCCGGAAAGACAAATGACGTCAGGAGGAGACGTGTAACGTACATGTCGAAAACATGTACACGGGAATACCGTTCCACAATGCTGGTGAAAAATCTCAGCTTCAGCTCCTGGCCTCTGCTTCGTCATGCAGACATTTGTTCGTCCTTTCTTTTGTTGACGATGAACACAAAATTTCTTCTAAGAGCAACAGAGTCGCACGATGGCATGAGCATCATCACTGACACACCCCTTACGGCATTGGTCCTGGCTTTAGTTCACACACCACGCGTTCTGGGACTAATTCCGGCAATGTTACTAGGTCCCCAACCCGGCATTGATGCCGGTATCAATCCCGGGTCGTGTTTGCGTTCACACAGAAGACCTTCTGGCAATTTCCCGGCAATTTCCCGGGATCAACATGCTGTGTGAAAAAGGCTTTATAGTCAAGAGAATGTTAAAAGGGACCAAAAAGTGTCACCATTTTTCTTTTACAATGATACTAAACAGACATAGACAGTGAAGGTCCATCCTCACACCTCAACAAAGTCCACCTGAGGAGGGAGGGTGGGGGCTCTTGAGGTGGACAAGGGGCTGATGAAGGGCTGGAAACAGGAGAAACCTGGAGAATGAGGAGCCAGGTGGGGACCCAGAGCACAGCTAGGATGAAGTCATGGTGGAGATTTGGTGTGTGGACCCAGGGGGACGGCTAATCGAGACAGAGATGATTGAGGTGGACATCCAGGCTGGGGCTACGAGACCATGCAACATTGATAGTTCTGGACACCAAGGCGCAGCCAAACTGACGAGTGTCTGAGGTGAAGCCGGTGGGACAGAGGACCAAGATAGAACTGGAGGAGCCCGACGGAGCCGAATAGGTGGAGAGACGAACATAGCTGAAAGTCAAGAAGTCCATGGCGCAGGCAGAGAGACGTCTGGCCAAGACGGAGCCAGAGGGACAAGGGAGTCCCGTGAATCCGCAAGGATGATAGTCCCAGGAGAAGCCAAGGGAGGGAGGGGCCAAGGTGGAGTGACGAGCTCTGTGGAGACACAGGAGACTTGGATCTCCAGCGGCGACAGGAGATTAAAGAGAATATTATTTTCCAAATCCTCATAATAATAATTCACGGAGGTCAGATCTAGCTCACAATCAGTGTTGGCCAAGCTTCCTTCCATGCCCTTGCACTCCATGAACATCCACACTAACAAGCATGGTGTTGCTGGCTCACTCTCAGAAAAAAAGGGTACAAAAGCTGTCACTGGGGCGGTACTTTCGGTACCCAGTGACAGCTTTTGTACCTTTTTTTCTGAGAGTGCTCATGCACCCCTTTATAGGGCACGGGCTCCGGGGCGCTGGTCAGGTCTTGGATTGCGGTAGGCTTTGGCTCTTTTTCTGCGGTGGGTTGGCGTAGTCTTCTTCCACTGGGCAGATGGTGAAGGGCGATCCACAACTTGGTGAAGTTTTCCAGAGGACCATCATTTTGTTACTATATTATGTTTGGGCAAATTGATGGCTAATTCGTATACAATTTCATTCTTACTTTTTCGAATGTGTAATGACAATTAGGTTTAGGAGTGGACCTTCATGTTTACTTTTTTTTTTAAATTACGAAATTGTCTCTTCATTAAATAATTACATTTTTATTCCTATTTCATTTCCATTTGATTGGGTTTGCTAAAACAGGTCCAGTTAGGTGTATCGTTAAAAAAATAAAGTTGCTTGTGTATATGTGAGAGTATATTTGTGTGTGAAGCTATGTATAAGGGAGGTTTGAGAAAGATGACATGTACTGTAAATCCGTAGTTTTGTTCAAGCTGTGCTAAAGCAACTCAAAATAAACCGATTCCCAAGATGATTCACAAAGTCGTTTAGATTATATGCTCTTTCATGACCCGGGGATCCTCAGTGTTTCACATCCTTTAATTTAGCACAGGCTTTGAAACAGGCAGATCTAATAGGGGCTCTTAATTCGGATGACAGGTTTAGCAGCAGTGAGTTACACCGTGTTTACTTGTTAAGACCCAGTGAGGCCTCACAATGGGTCAGTCCTCCACCTCTTCTCCTTGTTCTTCTCCACCAAAATTGTTTGCTTCAGTTTCATTCACACTGAAATAAAATCACAGAGGGATTGCATAATTGTGAGACAAATCAAAAAAAATTGTCACAGGACAGAATCAGGTTACAGAAGTCTGAATAGAAAATCACTTCCACTTTGCTAAGGTGTTGTGGTTGGTATCAAGAATCGCTATGTCGAGGTCAGAGCAAAATCAGTAAAGGCTGAAATACACCAAATTATCATTTGTTCTCTGATTTTTGCCCCAATTTGCAGTCAGTCAACACTAGTTGCCAAAAGTCCTAGGTAGTTGGAGTTGAACAATTTCCCAGATCAAAATCTTGTTCGATGGGCAAAGACTACGAGTTTTTAGCTTCAGACTTTGATTCCATATATTTTGGTCACATGGTTCTGCATGTGTTTGTAGTATATCAATGACTCTGGATGACAAACTCTAGTGTATGATGCACTATGATGCTTGATGTTTTAAAATATCTGTTAATGCAGAGTATGGGGTTTGTCCAAATACCTCACCCTAAGTATGAGAAACACTAATAGCAATGCTGGCTTTAGCAAACACCATTAATAATTTGACGCTGTAATTAATTGTTTGGACTGAAATTATGTTAATGGTTAGCATGCATCTACACAGCATTCATTTTGAAGTAAATCAGAGAAAACGTTGCATTCAAATAAATCTTGTTGTGATTTTAGTTTTTTTTTTTGCATTCTTTAGCTACATCCTCCCTATTTTTCCTCTCACTTTCTCACTCTTTCCCTCTTTTTGGAGACTCTAGTGGTCTGGTCAAGCGTGGTGATCCATCTCTGTCAGCACGCTAAAATGATAATGCCAATTAAATGAGACGGGTAATTGCCCTGGATCCCAGCAGAGCCTCAAAAGAGCAGCGGGTGTGGAGCAGGAATGAGAGGCCGACCCGTGGGACCCGTGGAGCCAGTCACGGAGCAGGGGAGAGACCAATGGGTGCAGAGATGTGATGTGTAATTCTTAACCTTTACTGATCACCATTGGCCTCCACTGGGAGAACTAGAGACACACAGTAGCACATGCACACTGCATACTCAGACGTGGACGTTTACCCAATCTAGTTACAGGCTTTTGCAGAACTAACCACAATGGAAAATAGGTCCCCATTAATTAGGTTTCCATGCTATAATTAGAAATTCTTGTTGACAAGACGAATAGTTGTGTTTATTCACTGTAATTATTTTTTCTACTTTATGCTATTATCTGTGAGCAGTACATTCAAAATTGGAGTATGAACAAAGTTCAGAGCACAATGCACGAAAGTTGAATGCCATATGAGAAACTAGTAAACAATCAAAACATGTGGAAGGGCATACATGCACAACTATACACACACATAATGCAAATGTAGTCCAAAATAATAGAGTGTGCCATGAAACATACCCTGTACATATGTGTGGCCATTAACTTATAATGAATGCATTTAGTCATTAGTCATTAGTAAGAATTGTGCATGTGAACAATTGTGTTGTCAGTTCAGTCCAGTTTCTTGTACTAATCCGATGGTTCACTACTTCCATGTAGTGTCTCTGAATAATGATGTATGTCACTGTTTTTTGGAACCCCACAAATCCACCAAAAAAACGTTTTTATTTCTAATTTTCAAGCAAATGATCACAGGATTCACATTCTTATTTTGTATGTCCAATTGAGATTGGACCAATGTATTCTGAAGCGAAGAAATGCATTTTTGTAAGAAAAATATCCATATTTATACCTTTATAAACTATAATCGCTGGCTTCTGGAAACGGCCGTACACATGTCTAGTTTTGGTAGTCATCTGTTGGCTCAGAGGTCACTCTTGGTCACAGCCTAGACTTGCGGAAGCCAGTGAATATAGTTCTATGTTATTATTAATGTTATAAATATGGATACGTTTCTTATGGGATTGCTTCATTTTAGAAGGCCTTTATTTACCCTTCTGGAGCCATATGGATTGCTATTATGATTTTTTTTTAAATCGCAGGTACTATTCACTCCTATTATAAATGCTTGGAAGAGCGAGGATATTTTTGGATGATAGAAGATGGCTTGAGGGTAGGTAATTTTTTTTTTTTTTTGGGGTCCTTTTAATACTTGTAGCCCAGTGGTAAACTTGGGTATTATAGTGCACTGGGAGTCGGTGGGTTATTATGAATCTCTCTTATTCTCAAAAGTGAATTTAAAAAAAAGTAAACGATTATTTACTTGGAAAATAATAATGAGACACCTGACTTCTAAATAAGCAAATATCAGTTAATTTTACGTAATTAAAAGGAGAGTGATATTTGGTTGTTTTTATTTTGTGAGTAATTAAAACAAAAGTTTATATTATTTAGTTAAATAATATTTGGCAGATGTTTTAGGCCGTTTAACTTTTTATTACTTTATTTTTAACTGTTTTTATGTTACTAATTGTATTGGTAATTTGAGTGTATTTGAGTATTCAATTTGAGTATTCACGCTGTATAGCCAATAGTGTTTGGCGGAAGAGATGCACGTGACCTGGTGAGAGAAAGTGCTGGAAGTTTAGTTTTTCCGCGCTTCCAACTGTACCCGTGTGGAGCGAGAGACGCAGGCACGGGAGAAGAAAACATAAGACGCAAAGAAGTGCGGGTAACTCATGAATCGGGAGGACCGCGACTCAGAGAAGTGGACCGCGGACTCGAGATGTTTGTGAACCGAGAGACGCTGAAGACCCGTTTGACGGAGCGCGAGAGACGGAGCGCGAGAGACAGAGCACGAGCTGTAATCTGAGGTAACTGTTTAGTCGAGATCGCTAGCCACCGTGGTGTTTTGCTGGGCGGAACTGACAGTTAATCGCACCCTACATGAACAGCTGGACCGAAGTTTTCGACGCTCTCAATGTTTTTCAAGTGTTTGTTCACCGCACTCAATGTTTTGCGAGACCCAAACAGGCCTGCAACATGGTTTTCCCTGTTCAGTAAAACGGGACCGTGAGTAAACTGAAACCCGTGTGAATGTGTGTGTGAGTGGGCCCACCACTACATTTGCTATCTGTTTTAGGACACTTGACGGTATTGTTTTGTTTATTTTCAAGCTTTCTGTGTATTTTCCCGTGTGGAAAGAGATTTAGTCCAAACTTTTATACCACTTATATTGTCTCAAATATGTGAGTGAAGCTATTGTAGCTAGCTAAATAGCTTAAAGGGGCTATTGTTCAAGTGTTCAGAGAAGATTTTGGTCATTTATTTTGTTTATTGGTCAATATTGAGATAAGGGAAAATTTCTTTTTTCAATTTCTGTGAGCTAATTAAACCGGGGTTTTACCCTACCCAGATAGCAGACTGACATTGAATCAACGTGGAAATATGACATCGAAACAACGTTGATCTGACATTGTTTTGCTCATCGAATTAACGTTGAACCAACGTCAGATGCGTCATTCTTTCAAAACTAACGGAAAATCAACTTGAAATCAACGCGTTGTTTCAACGTTATGAAAGCAAACCAATTTTCGATTTCATTTAGCTTTGAAGAATGCCGCGTCTGACGTTGGTTCAACGTTAATTCGATGAGCAAATCAACGTTGTTTCAATGTCATGAGAGACGTCGTTTCCACGTTGATTCAATGTCAGTTTCCTATCTGGGTATTCTTTTTGTTAAAATATAAACCATCTTTGGGTCTCCTTATTTCTAAAATATTTTATTATTAACAGTTGTGTAGCTCAAATACACTTATTAGGTGCACCTTTGTGGTATCCACCTGACTACGTCGAACCCAAGCACCCTCCACACTGTAAAAACTAATCTATAGAATTTACCCAAAAAATGTGAGGTAACAATTTGCATCGACTTTGGTGGGGTACATTTAATCCATATTAGTGAGTATAAACTATCTGAAGTAAAAAGCTATTAAATACTTGCATAAATTGGGTAACAATTACCTCCATTTATCAACAGCTACTTACTCGTTAAAATTAGGTAAAAATTATCTATTCAAATCAAAGCTAATTACTTATTCAGAGAAGGTAAAATGTACCCCCCACAATAAAGACATTCACATGGTTCATCAGATCAATGTTTTTAATCCAAAAATTCATATGAAACACTCAAAATACAGTGCAGCACAATAACTTTACACAACATTTCAAGTAATGAACATGTTAACTCACTGGACTATCAAATGTTGTTTCAATAATGTTGGATAATAAAACATTGCTGTTTTAGGAGGAGGAGAGAGTAGAAAATGAAACTAGAAGCGAGGAGATCAGAGCAGTACTGGAAGAAGTCCAATCACATTTTGTTGTATCTAAACTCTGTGATTCCATTACTTGGTTTCCCTCGATCACAATAGACAAATCTGGATCCTCCTCAGCCATGACATTGTGCTTCACAATCACCTTCATGTTTTTGTCTGTGTAGTCCTCACATTCCTACATGTAAAAAACAAACAAAAAGCATGCACATTTTTATTTAATGTAAGATGCTGTTTCAATATATTTCAGTTTATCTAAAAGGAGAGCAGAGGGGGAGTGGAAGGCAAAAGGAGAAGGTGGATACAAGAAGAGAGGAGGATCCTTTGAGTTAATCAAAAATCTGTTATGAATATGACATACCTGGTAGTAATGGAAAAGATCTTCTTGATTTTCACCAAGGTAGTCTTGTCTTTAATGAGGCAGCAGACAACAGCATCTCATGTTTCTCAATGTTCTGTGTCTGTAGGGAGATACAATTTAGTGATGTTAGAATGTTAGCGAAGTGGGGAGTGATTTACATATACTAAGACCGAATTACGGCCCTGCAACAGACTGGCGACCTATCCAGAATGAACACTGCCCCTTCACCTGATAAATGCTGGGTTGGCTCAAAAATCTTGTGACCCGAACGGACAAAGCAGTAAAGAAAATAGATGGATAAGACCGAATTCACACATTGATGTTAAAAGGTTTAAGTTGGTAAGGAGCTCAACTTTGCGCACAACAAATCAATTGTTTACAAATTACTTTAGTTTTAATTCACTCATATCAATAATTACATATTTGTGAAAAAATAAAATTACATACGTCATTTAAAGTGTCCAGCAGAGGACACATCTTGCAACCAGCTACTTCTCCTTTGGCGCGCATTAGCCGCAAAAGACCTCGTGAGTACTCATCAAGCTTCCGTGTGAATGTCTCCTCCAAGGAATATGTTGTGATGCGTCTAAACTCCTCCTTGATCTAGGAAGTTAAATGACCAAAATTTACATTTTAAATTAAAGACCAGCTCTCATAGTATTCACATGAATGTATACTAGTGGTAAGTAAAAATTACAAGAAATTCTCACCTGAGCTTCAGTGAATAATGCTGGCAACTTTAGAATAAACACACCCACAGAGGGGCTGAGGCTGACCACTTCAATTTCTTTGATCCGTTTTCACTTCTGTTGACACTGTAGGCTATCAACTGTAAATTAAAAAAAGAAACATTTCAGTAAACATCCTATTAAAAAAAAAAAACATAAATCTAACAGCTATATATGGCAGGTGCATTCTGAGGGTTAGGTAGCATGTTAGCTTAGCACACATCAATACACTACAATTTATGAGATTATAAAACCATGTTTTTGCTCCAAAATTACTTTATAATGCATGTCGATTGCTTTAAATAACCTTCTGTGATCTGACTTGGCTTCGGATAAAAAAACGGACATAAAATATTGTATTTTATAGTATTCTGGACTATCAAGATTATATCGATTAACATTAACTTACATTATAAATGTAATATATTATGAAGTTATCTGCATGGCTTGAAGAACACAAATAATGCGTCATATATCGTTGCAATCATGTTATCTGCAAGTATTCAGCGATCTTTGGAAACTTTGTTGTGGTTTCAGGTGTCACAGGTCATGTGGCTCTTCTTCGTGATATATTATGTAGTAGCGTTATAAATTATGTGCACACGACGCCCGCCGGCTGCCAGTGTGTATTGAAAACACACCCGAGGAGTATCCAGCGCTATGATTACATCGGCCCATTTTGGTGTATTCAATAAATATAATTCCTCTAACGTTATACAGAAATCTGACAGAAACCTATGATAATCAATAAATATTTCTCAGAATCTGCATATTTTTGAGCTGAAAGCACTTGTTTGGTCGAGCTCTGTCATGACGACGACAGAGGTATTTATGAATGGGAGCGGATGAATGACGCACATAATTCATATTAAAAACGCCATCGACTGTTTTTTATTGCATACTCCTGAAATTAATTAATATGGTCACTATAAGTTTCTCAGAAACAGTGGTCAAATACTGAAACCTGAGTCTTGCTTAATAATGTATAATTTGTCAAGGTAATCACATTAAATCTGATAGTAACTTTGAAATCTGTGCCCAACGGCCGACCGTCGGCTTGATGTGTTCCGCCATGGTGACGCCATCGACAGATTCAAACTTTAATTTCAAGTAATGACATGTTAAACAAACGAAAGCCCAATAAAAGCGAAGTGTAATGTCTCATAATTAAAAATATATGCACTCCTATGTTAATAGCTTACCTTCACTTCTGCTGTTCGATGGCAGCCAGAGAGAGGATCCAGCGTCGCCCACACTCACTCAAAAAGAAACCGCGGGCCTACGCATGCGCAATTTAAAGCAAAAAACTCACGTTTTGGGGGTATATTTTACTCCATTTTTCTATGTGATGATTCTTACTGTTGATGAATGGGTAGCATATGTAGAATTTACCCATTACTTTAGGATTCGTTGGCTGCCTGCAATAATCATGTACATTTTATATGGTTTCCACAGATTATATTTACCACTCGACAAAATCACTTTTTTCAGTGCATTCTTAAGTAATTCACAGAGTGGTTGTACGGGTGCTACATACTTGTATACCAAGATTGGGGGAAACTAATGTGGCACCCATTTGTAGTGTGGTGTGGAGTGCACGAGAGTAATCAATCAGTGTTGACTCCACATGGTCTGGGACAGGGGTGTCCAGTCCTGTTCCTGGAAAGCCACCTTCCAGTCGAGTTTAGCTTCAGCCTAATTAACACACCTGAGCCAGCTAATTAAGGTCTTAGGGATTCTACAATTCCAGGCTGGTGTGGTGGAGCCAATCTCTGCAGGGAAGCAGTCCCCCAGGAGGAGGATTGGACACCCTGGGACGAGAGGCTGGAGATGTGTCCAGAACCATCCCCTCGAAAGATTTCATAATGTCTGATGTGAGGGCAAACTTGTCCATAAAGTTAATGGGATGTTCCATCTTTAGGATCAGGACAATGCATAAAATCATGCAAAGCTAGAGAAACTTCTACTGCAGGGGTGTTCAAGCCTGCTCATGAAGAGTTCAGTTCTCCAACACACCAGCCTTCTCTACCACACCTGCCTGGGCATTTGTAGTAATCCTGAACTCCTGAACTCTGCAGGAAGGTGACCGTACAGGAGCAGGATTGGATCTTACCGTTGAAGAGTGCATGTCCTCAACAACATGGACTGATCCTGTTAGGCCTTGTGGGAACTCAGTAGCCCTAAATAGTCTAGGACTTACAGAGAAGTAAAAAAGGACTGATTATAAAACTGGTTGTCATCTCATTAACCTTCCTGTTTTACCAATTTACCTGCTCATTAGAGCCAGTCATGCTCCATATTTTAGCATTGATGTTTATGCTTTATATTATCCCAGTAAAACCCTAGAAAAAAACTGTGTTCCTTGTCTCCATACTAGTAGGCCCTCTTCTTCTTGTTTAGCCGTTTCTTCCTGTTATTTTTTGTGATCCACCACTCTTGTTGCTGAACCGGCAAATTCGGTTTATGTAACTTATTCATCCACAAGTTGATTTCAGTCCCTCAGCGTCCTCACTATCAAACAGAGCCGGACAGTAACGGAGTACATTTATTTTAGTACAGTACTTAAGTACAATTTTGAGGGATCTGTACTTTACTCGAGTACCATTTTTGGGGAGCACTCATGACTTTACTCGAGTACATTTGAGAGGGAAATATTGTATTCTTTACTACACTACATTTCTATCCATAACCGTGAGTACCCGTTAATACTTCTAAAAAAAAAATTTAAAAATGTAAAAAAGAAAAATTTTGGAAACCCTCAATTTGTGGTTTCCCTCTCAAACGTGATTGGATTGTGTAGGCGCCACTGATTGGGACAGCCTATCAGCAATCACCTTCAGCTTTCTGCCAAAGTCAGCTCCATGGTCAGATTTAGATAAGAGACGAAACCATGGATGACCAACCATGGCCCCACCTCGCCAGAATATTTCAATTTTCAAACATTTCTGAAATTTTCTTAAATGTTAAATTAAGCAACATGGTAAAAAGATGACTTTTGAAATGACTTGATTTTACTTTCAAATCCTTTTTAGATTCTCCAAGGGATTAACATTAACATTTTTCATAAGTGTAGGACATTTCTGTACATAAATGTGGCAGTAGTAATGCAATATTTAGAAAATGTAAAGTACTTGGTACTTTACTTAAGTAGACATCTGACTGTAGTACTCCCAGATAGCAGACTGACATTGAATCAACGTGGAAATATGACATCGAAACAACGTTGATCTGACATTGTTTTGCTCATCGAATTAACGTTGAACCAACGTCAGACGCGTCATTCTTTCAAAACTAACGGAAAATCAACTTGAAATCAACGCGTCGTTTCAACGTTATGAAAGCAAACCAATTTTCGATTTTCATTTAGCTTTGAAGAATGCCGCGTCTGACGTTGGTTCAACGTTAATTCGATGAGCAAAATCAACGTTGTTTCAAATTCATGAGAGACGTCGTTTCCACGTTGATTCAATGTCAGTTTGCTGTCTGGGCTTTTACTTGTACTTGAGTTAAGTTTATCAAGGGGTATCTGTACTTTAACTCAAGTAATAAAGCTGTGTACTCGGTCTGCCTCTGCTATCAAAGAACCCTAAAAAGTTGGTCTTCATCAGTCAAAGTTTGCATCCTTTGTCCAGCTGCCCATGCAAACCCAACTCAAGGCCTAACTAGCAGGCAGTGATCCATTTCCTAAGTAGCTCCTTAACCGTTATCAAACTAGCCACTAAAATGAGGAGTTCGGCAACAAATGCTGTTAACGAGATTTATTGCACGGGTGAGACAAAATGCCTATGCACATTCTGTATCACAATGTGTCCTCCTGCTGCTAAAAAATAATAACAACAATAATAGCACTAATAAAAGCGAGTCATTGATCCTCCGTTTTAACCCCCCTAGTCGTTTTCTAGCACTGCTCGCTGTTGACTTATTGTGAAGTAGCAGCGTGCCAAATCCATAATTAGACTCTTTTGTTGCCCCCATTGTTGTTGGAAATGTAATTATGAAAGATGAAACACAGCTTTCAATGAGATTGCTGTAAAATAGCATAATTAATATGGGGTTTTGTGTGAACAATTCCACTTTATGGCGGTCCCTGCGTTGCCAGTGAAATTAATTAAGTGTGCCAGGATTTATGAGAGAGGTGCCAGAATGAAAAGAATTAATCGGAGTTGGAAGATGGATGGGTACTAGAAAATGATGACGCCCAAGCGCAGGCTAAGAGCTAACTGCTTTAGGGGCGAGCTTCAGGGGATGGCCAGGACGCCTCTGACGCAATTACACTCCTCTCACCAACAGCTGCACCAGGCCTGGAATTGGCTAATTTTTTTGGCTGTGGCTCTTCTTTATTAATCCAACCATTTCCCAGCCCCTCTACTCTAAATAACCCAAACTAGACAATCACTCTTGCATGTCTCTGATGTGCCACAATGTATGATTATTTATGTTTTTATTACACTACTTGCAGTCATTTTTTAAAACCAATTATTTCTTCACCGTACACTCTTTTTAATCACAGATTACAATGCTCTACATCCCGTTGTAATTATTTCCTGAAGACGAATATGCAAACGGCACAGAATACATTTCAAGTAAATCAGTGTAATTACTCAACTAATCATGGACAACATTAAGACAAACTTCACCTCAAATCAGTTTTTAGCGTAATGCCCTGGGGTGCGTTTCCCGAAAGCATCGTTAGCCGACTATTGTCGCATCTTCCGTCGTTACCAATAGAGTTCAGTGGAAATTGCGTCCAACTTGCGGCCATTGTTGGCTAACGATGCTTTCGGGAAACGCACCTCGAAACGGGACTCAAATCTAGGCCCTAGCCCGGCCTGTGTCCAACAGCTGATCAGAATTCTCGTTCCAAGAGTTAGACAAATGAAAAACGTCCAATCCTAAACGTAAAAGCGAGACAGCTTCCTAACATGGCTACAGCCAGAAGAACAGTATCTTACAGAGCATCCTGAGAGAAAAAGTTCAGCATCCACAGTGGAAGATTTTAATCCAGTCTTCTATGGGCCTTTTTACACCTAGTCATGTTATGCCTTGTCTCTGATCATGAAGGGACCAGGTGTAAATGCCTTCCGAATATAAATTCAATCACTCAAACCACTTCAGACTTCAGGAGGTGGTCTGAGACGCATTTCAAATGAAACTGGATACCACAAATGTTCATTTTATCTCCCAAAAAAGTAGAAAATAAATAAACATTTGAGAGCGTTATAGACTTTATAATAGCCAGAAATGACAGTCCTACTGCAATACGCATCGCCACAGATGAAGAGCTGTATCTCTTCAGCAAGTCAATGCACAAACTACTGCAAATGAAACTGGGCCGACACTCTGTTGCTGTCTGGGTATGCCTCTCTCTACTACACTCTCTCTCTACTAAACCCTCTCTCTACTGATATTTAGCTGATCATAAATGAAATGCAGCTCATATCTGTTGACGTGAATTCTGCTATATTTGCATGTAGTGCGGGGGCATTGAAGATCGGATTTATATTCATTCTGTGGAGACACATTTATGTGGCAAATCAAACAGATATCCGATTAGAGAAAACACATGAAGTGACCAGGTGTATAGTGTGGACTTCTTTCATGTGGAAATCTTTTCGGTTTGACTGTATTTTGATGGTCCCTTTAACACGCTCTGTTGACTATAAGTAGCGTTGCCCCTACATGTCTATTTACTCTCATTAGAGTGTCAGTAGAGTATTAGTTGACTCGTAGGGTTCGGATTAGAATAAGTTGACATCTAGTTGTAAAGTTACTTATTTTCCACTACACAGAACCAGCTCGACTCGGCTCGCCTTTGTTTGGTTTTCCACTGTGTAAAAGTTGTACCTGATTTCAGGTACTTTTTTTTGTATCACCTCCGGCGAGGTTATAAACGAGCTAAGGCGAGCTGAGCCGGTACTAAAATGTGACGTGAAAACAATGCTGACTGCTGATTGGTAGGGGTGTAACGGTACATGTATTCGTATTGAACCGTTTCGGTTCGAGGCTTCCGGTTCGGTACGCATACAAACCGAACGATTGCTTGGACCATTTTTCCTGCCGGCAAAATTCGTGCTGACGCGGCCAACACAACGTTGCGCAACATCAAATGGCAAGCGTAATGAAAGCAGAACGAAACTGCGCTCCTCGTTATGTGCTTCACGGATCGTTTATCAGTTCGGACCAGCAACATCTGTGCAGCGCGAGCCGATCTCGATCAAGCAACACTGTTGAGATCCGGTAAAGAAAACATTTGAATTCGCCACTGAGGTAATAACATCGCTGCGAGATCTAGTGAGAAGCATTCACATTTCCCTGTAATTAACCGTAGATCTCTATTAGATCAAACAGCGCTGTCATAGAAACCAGGGGAAACATTGTGCCGTGAATGAACTAGTAATACTTTCGTCCACAGACCAGCAACATTCACCATGGATTTAATATAGTAACACTAACTGGAACCAGGTTGGCTGGAATGGTGAAATGCTTTCAAGTACTTCACACATCTTTTTCCAGCACTTCAAAATTCAAATATTATATAAATAAATATATATTTAAATGTTATTTTTAACGTAATGACCAAAACATTATTTGTTCATCCTTCAAAGATGACCCCCATTTATAAACCTGAAAGTTTCAAGATCTAGGAAAACACACACTTATTTAAAAATATTTTTTCTTTAAACAAATAGGAAATTTCTCTGGCACTTCTTTCTTTTTGCTGTATCGAAAATGTACCGAACCGTGACTTTAAAACCGAGGTACGTACCGAACCGTGATTTTTGTGTACCGTTACACCCCTACTGATTGGTCAGGGAGAATCGTCACCATTCACTGCGTCATCATTGCACGTGCCAGATTGAGTATTCAGAATATCCCCGCCATTTTTAAATAGTTTGGCCAGAGATAGTTACTAAACTTACTACTATTATCATGGCAACTCGGAAGAATACGGCGTGGTCAAACGAGGAGGCGCAGACTTACCTTTGTTTGAGAGCTTGATAGGGCAATGAGGAACAGGCATCGCTATGACGACCGGGTACTGGTTGTGGCGGCATCGTCTGCAATGGAAAACGGAGCGAAAAGCGAGCTGAGGCGAGTCGAGCTGGTACTGGTAATGGAAAAGCGCCATTATAGTCAGTAGGATGTCTGTTGGAGGACCATCACTATAAAGAGTTAGGAGATATTAAAGGAGTCTTAATTTTGTTTTTGGGGTGTACTAGAATGTGTTCATGCTTGATTGTTCATTATTCGTTACATATTTTAAATTATTATAGCACTTCTCTCTCCAGTCTGGCTCAAACACACCGATTTCGAGGAAGCTCCTCCTTCCGAATACAAAAATGTGTTGTAATTGGTTAGCTTGGCGCGTGTTCAAGAAATGTCCCGCTCCTCCTTAATTGTGAGTTCTTCTCTAATGTAAATATTGAGGATGGTGTCAATTTGAAACCAATTCAAGCCCGATTCAGACCCTGACAATGTTATCGAACAAGAAGGTCATGCAGAACGGATTTCATGAGCAGACTTTGCAAGCACGGATTTCAGAGTGGTATGTTTTTTGTAATTTCCTTATACTTTATAGGTACTATGTTATCCACCATTTATTGTGATATTTGTCGGAAAACTAAGGAAATACCTTAGTGAATACCTAAGGAGTTTGTTTATGATGGATGGATGCATGTTTTGAGCTTCAATTTGTTGGTTGCAATCCACTGTCAGAAAACTTTGAAGAGCAAGGATATTTTTTAGTATAACTCCGATTTCATTCATCTGAAAGAAGTCAGAAACACATAGGATGGCTTGAGGGTAGTACTGTAACGGTACATGTATTCGTATTGAACCGTTTCGGTTCGAGGCTTCCGGTTCGGTACGCATACAAACCGAACGATTGCTTGGACCATTTTTCCTGCCGGCAAAATTCGTGCTGACGCGGCCAACACAACGTTGCGCAACATCAAATGGCAAGCGTAATGAAAGCAGAACGAAACTGCGCTCCTCGTTATGTGCTTCACGGATCGTTTATCAGTTCGGACCAGCAACATCTGTGCAGCGCGAGCCGATCTCGATCAAGCAACACTGTTAACACACACCGCGCTAAGAGATCCGGTAAAGAAAACATTTGAATTCGCCACTGAGGTAATAACATCGCTGCGAGATCTAGTCAGTGAGAAGCATTCACATTTCTCCGTTATTTACCGTAGATCTCTATTAGATCAAACAGCGCTGTCATGGAAACCAGGAGAAACATTGTGCCGTGAATGAACTAGTAATACTTTCGTCCACAGACCAGCAACATTCACCATGGATTTAATATAGTAACACTAACTGTAACCAGTTTGGCTGGAATGGTGAAATGCTTTCAAGTACTTCACACATCTTTTTCCAGCACTTCAAAATTCAAATATTATATAAATAAATATATATTTAAATGTTATTTTTAATGCACTCTCAGAAAAAAAGGTACAAAAGCTGTCACTGGGGCTGTACCTTTTCAAAAGGTACACTTTTGTACCCAAAGGCTGCATATTGGTACCTTAGTGGTACATATTAGCACCTAAAATGGACATATTACCACCTGAAAAGGACATATTAGCTCATGAAATTGACATATTAGCACCTAAAATGTACATATTAACACTTAAAATGTACATATTAGTACCTCAAATGTACATATTACCACCTAAAATGGACATATTAGCTCATGAAATTGACATATTACCTCCTGAAATGGACATATTAGCACCTAAAATGTACATATTAGAACTTAAATGTACATATTGACACTTAAAATGTACATATTAACACCCAAAATGTACTTATTAGCTCATGAAATGGACAAAAGTTTACCTTTTGAAAAGGTACAGCCCCAGTGACAACTTTTGTACCTTTTTTTTCTGAGTGTGTGATGACCAAAACATTATTTGTTCATCCTTCAAAGATGACCCCCATTTATAAACCTGAAAGTTTCAAGATCTAGGAAAACTCACACTTATTTAAAAATCTTTTTTTCTTTAAACAAATAGGAAATTTCTCTGGCATTTCTTTCTTTTTGCTGTATCGAAAACGTACCGAACCGTGACTTTAAAACCGAGGTACGTACCGAACCGTGATTTTTGTGTACCGTTACACCCCTACTTGAGGGTGAGTAAATCATTGGCTTATTTTCATTTTTAAAGTGAACTAATCCTTTAAGCAACCTATTGTAAAAAGTGATGTATTGAACACGTGATGTAACTTGACCAAGAGCTTGACCAAACATACCCACGTTGCTATGCTTTTTTATTAAAAACATGCTTGGTTTTCTTACTTTTGTTATGCGTTTAATTTGTTATTGAGAGGAAAGCATGCAGGACATATTTAGATATGAGCATCGTCGGATCTTCGCTAACAGGGTATCGCTGCTCACGTAATTCAACCTTTTACCCCTTAGCGGATAACGAAAAATAACTTTGCCTTGAGGACATTGTTTCTTTTCATTAATAAATGTCTAAAATATAAAAAGAAGGAGAAGTCTAAAACAGGTTCGATGCCCTAGGGCTGTAAATAAGTCGGGAGATCTTTAACATGTAACCAGTAGTTCCAAACATCATATATAAATACATACAAATCACAATTTTAGCGATGAAGAGAATAGCTATTCACCTTGGAGGAGGTGGGAGGGCTCTTTCACTGACCCTTAGCGTTGCAGTTCTTGACACTGTTCATCACAGGCAGTGGAAATATATTTCTTGACCTCTCCTCCTCTTTCAGTCCTCCCCACAGATTAACCGAAGCCGCAGACCCATACAGCAGATTATTAGGCCCTTCAGTGCACCGGTGGAGTTGATGGGAGGCTTCCCAGAGAGCTGTGATAGCCTTAATGGAAGACTAATTGGCCAACTCCTCTGTCCCAGACCAGTGCCATGGCGTCTCAGGAAAAAAAAAGACAAGCAATGGGACACTGAGTGTGTGTACGCATGTGGAGGGGTGTTAGCATGGCGGTAATTAGCCCCCCTACACTCAGACAAGATAAATGAAGTGTTGGTAGGCGCTTGGCTGCAAAGCGGTTGATTGGACAGGTACGACGGGAGTGTCTGTGGTCACTAGAGCATGTCCAGCCTTGGTAATTAACTACACCACCCAGCCATGCGTTTGAGACAACACTCCCAGTACGGAGGTGCCCTTACTTACAAATCGGCGTCCATTGTCAGCCTCGTAGAGTGATTATGACATATTGTTTAATTTGTTGGGCAGCAGAGTCTGGAGTTGATTTTGATGAATCGCACGTTTTTATTTCATCATACGTTTATTGTCTTGTGGTAAGAGACCCAGCACCAGGGGGTTAGACTTGTGCTGTGTGGTGCTTAGGAAAACAGAGTGGGAAGATTGAAATGAGTGTGTGTTTGTTCAAATAACTCAACGACGGCTCATCCTAATAGCCATCTAAATGGGACACCTCCTCGATTCCCAAAGTCTTCTGCAAAGAGCTGAAAATGCACAAACACTGGTGTCAGATACAGATGTATGGATAGATGGATAGCCTAATAAAACATTTAACCCTGTAATAAACAGTATTTTGTCGCCAGTGATTTAGAAATAACTGTGCTCAAGAGCAAGTTTACATTTGATTGTCCTTTGTTTATTGATTAAATAAAAAATAGAACTTCAGTGGTTTATTTAGTGATTGTAGACTGGCTAACACACCATTTCTTTTTCTTTGATGGACTTGTTAAAGGAGTAGTTCACTTTTAATAAAAACTTTTGCTGATAATTTACTCACCCCCATGTTATCCAAGATGTCCATGTCTTTCTTTCTTCAGTCGAAAAGAAATTAAGGTTTTTGATGAAAACATTCCAGGATTTTTCTCCTGGAATGGTTCAAGAGTTCAAGGTCCAAAAGACAGTTTCATTGCAAACTGTTCAAAAGGCTTTAAACGACACCAGACGATTAATAAGGATCTTATCAAGCGAAAGGATCGCTCATTTAATAAATAAATAACAAAGTTTAAGTTTTATAAGCTCAAATGGTCGCCTTGCTCTGTTCTGTGACGCACGTTTGTGACTCTCCTGTACGAACTCGTTCATCAAAAATGAACAAATCTTTTTCCGAGTCAGTTCATTCGTTTCGTTCATTGAATGAACCAAAAGACTCGGAAAAAGATTTGTTCATTTTGATGAACGAGTTCAAAGAGGAGAAAAAGTCCAATTACCATTTTCCATATTTTCTAGTTTTAGCAGAGATTAATAGGGCATAGGTTGACAACCAGTTTACTTCTTATGTTGCTTCAGTGGTTTATACATTAAAAATGATGACTTTAACGAATAGACTTATTAAACTTATAGTCCAAGAGTGTGCCAACCTGCTCCTGGGGGGCCACTGTCCAACCCCAATTAAACACACCTGAAGCAGCTGGTGTGTGTGTGTGTGTCTTCAGGCAGGTGTGCTGAGGCGACTTGGAGCCAAACACTGCGGGACACCGGCCCTCAAGGACCACGTTTGGACACCCCTGATATAGACTTATGATTATGCTACAAATCCATACGAAATATGGAAATATACAGTATACACAAATAAAGACCTTACAAATCATTTGCAAAGTTAATACATACACTCTAAAAAATGCTGGGTTATTTCACCCCAAATTTGGGTCAAATATGGACCAACCCAAATGTTGGGTTAAAAATGCAATTAGAAAAATTACATTTGAAAGTGAAAGTTGAAGTTTGGTTGAAATTACATTTTTAACCCAACATTTGGGTTTGTCCATATTTTACCCAAATTTGGGTTCAAACAAACCAGCATTGTTTAGAGTGAAGTTTATATATTGTAGTCTCGTGTTAATATATTAAAAGGCTAAATACAAATAGTGAGTTCTTCATTCATTGTCACTGTAATTAACAAAATGATTGTTGTTTAATTTACTCATATGTAAAGAGTTAATAAAGAGATTAGCCATATAACTGATGTACAGTATTTTAAACCAGTAGTGAAGGAGTTGTAAATGGTTATTAGGAGTAAATAGTTCTCTCTTTAGATTAGGTCATGGGAAATATGAAAATGTCCTAAATTAAGTGCTTTAAACCAGCTTTTATTGGACATTAATTGCATTCATATTAATACATCGTTGCATCTTGTTTTGTGTGCACAGTTTTGAGAAAAGAAGCTATAGTTTCAGAAACTGTAAAAAAAACTTTAATATATTAACAACTTAAAGACTACAGTATTTGAATAATGAATTATCTAAACTAATAGTTTGTTAATGATTTGTAAGTACGTTATTACTGTATACTTATCGGAAAGTGTTTCCATTAAAAGGATTTAAAATGGGTTATTCTCAGAGTTAATTAAGTGTTACTGCAGAAACAATGTAAAAGAATAATAGGAGTCCATTCTACACGGGCGCACGCCCAAAATTGGCAATATTGTACGGAATTTATTTTGTATAAATCATATGATTTGTATCAAAAAGTAAGCATGAAGCTTCATCCTTATACGCAACCAAATTTGCCACCAGTTTAACGTAGAATAGTTGTCATGAAAGTGCGTTGGGCCATATATCTCATGCAATATCTTCTGAAACCGCGATATTATTGTCTATTACACATGGACAATCAGTCGATCTACCTCACAAAACTTTTAGGAATATTTAATTTATGAATTGAACCGATACATTTTTTTTAAGCCTTAGCCCAGTGTTCATCGTGACCGCTTTGAGTGCATTCAAGAAAGAAAGAAAGAAAGAAAGAAAGAAAGAAAGAAAGAAAGAAAGAAAGAAAGAAAGAAAGAAAGAAAGAAAGAAAGAAAGAAAGAATTGGTTAAGATCACGTTTGGTTTGGCATTGGTCTACAGCTCCTAAAGTGATAGTGACATCATATCTCTAATTTCCAATAACTAAATCAGGACGGTTAATCACCTCTCCAATTATTCTGGCTTGTTTTACATGGACTTGCACAAGCACTGACTCACATCCAACCTCAGATCTGCCATGACATCATAATCACGCAGGAATCGCACCGTCCCGAGCGGCGTTTGTGGCGATAACGTCAACCGATAACTAACCATCCGATCACTGTTGGAGATCTTGTTAAAGATTGTTGGAAAAAAGCAGCAGGGTATCAGGTTTAGCTTATTGAGTTATGTCATGACCTATTCAGTATTCAATATTCAAAATGCGTGCTTGGTTTCCATTAATGTAATATTCACGAGCAGTCGCGTCCTGATGATATGCATCTCCATTGATTTGTATGATAACATAGTGAGGAGCTTTCAAATCACAGAAGGCAACAACGCTTACACATAAACACGACGTCTCATTCGCTCATGGAAAAGCTGTGTAAAAACAGTAAAGTACATTACGACTGGGATTTTCCCTTTAGACCTGAAAATGAACACAAGGTTTGGGAATTTTGGCAATGTAAAATTAAAAAGAAGAAATATTTAAGATTTTTTACTAATCAGATAAGTGTGTGACATTGAGAATGTAAACTCGTTTTATGTATGAAATGATGAGAAGCAAGCCCACACACACACACACACACTGTGATGTCCTTGGCATGTGTGTCTGGTTCTGAACACAGATCGTCTCCATGTCATGTTGCAGGTGTGATGTGATAGGACTGATGGATGAGTGGAAACAGCTCAAATTTGATTTAGTCAAACGAGGGGTCTGGTTGATCGGCCGGGGTGTGCTGGGGTTTTTGGAGAGTCCTTCATTTATCAAAGTAAAACAATTACCAGTCGATAGTGCTTTTCAATTTGTAAGAATCAAAGAGCACAGTGAGACGCCTTCTCTTTCATTCCTCCTTGACCTTCTCTGTCACAAAAATACCACTTGCCCCCTATTCTTTCATGATTTAATGTTTTATTTTTAATGTTCTTTACATGAATTTCACGCCCAAAAAATGGAAAATCATCATCATCGTTTACTCACTGTCGTTATTTCAAACCTAAATGACTTTCTTACTTTCCATAACTAGGAAAAATACTATTCACTCTTAATCATGAAAAAAAAGTAACAAAAGTGATTATGAAGTGAACTATCAAAAGTTTGATAGTTTTGTGCTGAAAAGTAGCAATGTCTAATTCATGAACGAATCATTCTTTTTAGTCAGATCTTTTTAAAGGAGTAGTTCACTTTTCAAAAAACTTTTGCTGATAATTTACTCACCCCCATGTCATCCAAAATGTCCATGTCTTTCTTTCCTCAGTCGAAAAGAAATTAAGGTTTTTGATGAAAACATTCCAGGATTTTTCTCCATATAATGGACTTCAATGGGAACCAAACGGTTCAGGTCCAAAACACAGTTTCAGTGCAAACTGCAAACTGTTCAAAGGGATTTAAATGCTTCCAGAAAAAAGGTCATTTAATGAATCTAGTCTAGTCTAAATCTGCATTTCCAAACGTCTTTGTGTAAGTCAAAGTAAGTAATAGAAACAATTGCCACTAATGTCCTCTACAATCTATTCATTGCAGTGGTTTTGAGTTCAACTCAGTGATTGATTGATTCAATGATCCGTGAAGAACAGCCTATTTTAGGTATGTTTCTCACACAAATTGTATGACTTTAGAAACACCCATAAAGTTTAGAAATATAGGGAACATTTCATATGGATATGGATTATTAAACATTTATGGTGCTGTTTTGAAACTTGAAAGCTTTAGTATTCATTTATTGTAATAGCATGGACAATTGAGACTAGAAATGAGACCTTAAAATGGGTATGCTTGGAATGGCATAACACCAACTATTAAAGTATATACAGTGTCTAAACTGTACACACTGTGTGTATATGTAATGTATGCACAAATGAATTTGCCAAAATGTGCAAAATACAAGCA